ATCGTTGGTTCATTTTTTTCAATTGGCTCTTTTTTGTTGGAACAATTTTTTTTTTTTTTTTCTGGTACCTGGTGTTGTGGTGATTATGATGGTTTTTATTTTTTTTTTTTTTGGTTGTCGCGGATATTAATGTTGAAATGGATCATTTGTCGTTGTGTGGCCAAGACGACGATCATCATAATACCATAATCATCATCATCATTAGTCTTGAGGGCAAGCGATCAAGTGTGAAAATTTTTTTCTGGATCGTTTTTTTCACTTTTTCCATGTGTTTCAATTATGAATTTTATTGGACACCGTTTTTTGCAATCCATTGAGAATTCTCAATCATCAATCGATAATGATGATGATGATGATGATGATTGAGGAGGTGACAAAGATGACACTTTTTTATGTGAAAAAGGAAAAAATAATCGATTATGATATCCAGGTTTTATGACAGCCGATATTTAGCAGCAATGAAGAATTCTTGAGAATAATTTCTTTTTTTCAAGATTCTGGTAGAATAAATTGATTTTTTTTTTTTCGTCTTTGTCTTTGTCTTCAATTGTGACACATAAAGAAGAATGAAAGCTAACCAATTGTTGGTGGTGGTGGTGATAATTTGTTTTTTACAATTTTTTTCGTGTTTAATGGTGTGATTGGATCAAAATGATAAAAAAAAAATTAGATTGAATTTTCCACGAAAACACAATGACAAAAAATGACACGTTGCTATCCATTGTTCCAATCTTTTTTTCTTCATTTTTTAAATTGTTTTTGTTGTCATCTAAGCTCAAAATGTCACCTTTGAGAATTTCCCATTATTTTTCACTTTCTTTTTTTTGGTTCTCGATAATAATAATAATCGGATTTTTTTTCTTGTCAGCTCGACAAGTGAACGGTGAAAGTGAAAGTGAAAAAAAAACCGATTAAAATCATTTGAGGATCATCATTATTCGTGTATGATGACGGCAATAAGTGTATGATTGTTATCTTTGAAAAATTTAAATTTTCATTTTTTTTATTGTGGTTTTCTTGATCTCGAGAATCGTTTTTTTTTCTTGAATAAATTCATTTGATCTCATCATCATCGATTTTTGATCCAGAAACGACAACAAACAAGAAATGTCTCTTGTGACCGTTTAAATATTTGTATCTTTTTTGTCTAGCTGTATTGTTGATCCATTTCATTTCATTTATGGTAATAATGATGATGATAAAATTTTCAACAAAAAAAATGAAAATGAAAACAAAATTGATCTTATCATTTCGCTGATGATGGTCCCTAAATGAAAACTTTTGATGGCCATCTAGATAGATAACTCACCAAATACACACACGAAGTATTTTTTGCGTTCCTGGTTTCACACACACACATAGATCAAATATTGATTGTATTGTGAAATAGAAACTCGAATAAAATAGGAAGTGCAGTAAAGTAAATTTGCCGACCGGATGTTGATTTTCTCATTCTCCACACACACACACACAATCATTGATGATAAACTTGTTATTTTTGAAATCGAAAAATTACTCTAAAACGAAGATGATGATGATGATGAAAAAATGAAAAATGGAACGAATTTTTTTTTTGTTCGTCGAAAAAATGAAAAAAAATATTTCCTATTTTGATGCTATAACGATCGACTATCATCGAGCACCAGGCAGACAGAAATAATGATGTTTTGAAGATGGAGAAAAAGAAAACGGTTTCTGAAGATTGGCGGCAATGATAACTCATCATCATTGTGTGAGTTGTTCGTGCATTTGAATGGAATTGAATTGAAATTATTATTTTTCTCGTTTTTTTCGGTTTTTTTTCTGCTAAAGTTTAGTTTTCATATTTTTCATCGTTTGAAAATCACCTTCCAGGCATAAATTGAGTGAGTGAATAAGAATCTCATATATATACGTCAATGTTTGATGAAATGATGATGATGAATTCTTCTTAGACTGACATGATGACAACGATTCTTTATTCCATTGATTCTTGATTTCAGTTTTTTTATTCACATTTTTTTCGATGTCATTCCCATCCGATGATGATTTTCATTCGGGTATAATAATCATAATATTTGAATTTCTAGAAAAAAAAAAAAAATGGCAAATCAATAAAAAATGATAATAATAATAATCACGATCATCATCATCATCATCATTATTCACGTGAATAAATAGCCAGGACAATGGGAGACGAAGAAAGAAAGAGAAAAAAAATTGAATTTTATTCAATTCAAATTCAATATTGCAATGAATATGATGATGATGATGAATTGAATTGAATTGAATTGAAATGAAAAATCTTGGCTTCTGGTTATTTTTTTCCAAGGTAAATAGAAAAAGAAAATAAAAAAAAATCGGAAAATGTTGAGTAATACTTGGCAATGTTTTCTTGTTTTCCGGTTGATTTAATTTCAATTCATTCTTGTAGGTATCTAGTAGGTAAGTAGATTGGTTTGTTTGATTTTCTCAAATGTATGAAATGAAAAAAATGATGAATAAAAAAAGAAAGAAAATCGGATTCTGGTATTAGCAGCTATTTCTACGTAGCTACAGAAATAATGTATTTTATACGAGAAAACTATTTTCGCTTCAATGTTCTCAAAATGTTGGGCACTTAAAGTGTTGATGAAAATTTCATCTTTCCATTCCATGTAACAGGAAAAAAATCCATTCAAAAACATTCATCTAGCCATTACCTCCTAATCACGTTGTTGTTTGTCGTTTCGTTGATGATGATTGAATTGAGTGAATAAATGAATGAATATTTATGCATAAACAAAAAAAAAGTTGATGATCATCATGTCCAGATCACAGGTTTACACCATTAACCAGAAGAGAGAGAGAGAGAGAAAGAGAAAAATCTATTAAAATTGTAATTTGACCAAACGATTACCAGAATGATGAAAATTATTGAAACCCGAGAAGTTTCGTAAAACAAAACAAAAAATTCAATTGTTCATCTGGTCATTCGCCACACTGACATCGATAATGATGACGATGATAACCAAATTATTTTAGCCATCAAAAACAATTGTAGAAGAAAAATTATCAAAAGAAAAAAAATTCCGAGGAAATTTCTATGGAATGAGAAAAAAGAAGCCAAAAATAAAAATCAAACCTCTGAAAAAAAGTGTCACAATGGAATGGATCCAACGACGAATGCAAAATTATTATTGTTCCAATGATTTGCATATGTGTGTGTACAACACATTTGTGAATTTTGATTTTCATTATTCCGGCAATGATGGTGAGTGGCAGGATATGGCCATAGCCAAAAATATTGCCGTTTGCATAATAATTTCAAATTTTCCATCTAGCCAGCCAGTTTGATGATGATGGCCATTATTATTGTTATTGCGTTATTTCAAGGGATTTTTTTCTCTTTTGGGTTTGGTTATTTTTTTATTATTATTATTGTGGAACATTCGTTGTTGTTGTTGCTGCTGTTGAGATGAGAATCGCTGTCCAGGGATAGAGTGAAAGAGAAAATAAAATAATCGTTATTTGCGTTGCTCAATCGTTCCATTATTGAAAAATAATTGCCCAGAATGGGTTTTCGTTCTCTTTTATCGTTGCTGTAAACAACAACAACAACTACGAAATACGGAAAAAATAAGAATTTTTTCGAAAAAAAATGGCCGATGATAGAATTTGCATATTTTTTTCCAAAGTGAAAAACATCACTTTATGCACACACACAATAAGCGGCTTAAATTTTGGCAAACGTTCCATCACTATTCGTATTTCTATTTTCGTAAATTTTTCTATTTGCTTATTTTTCTCGCTATTATTAACCTGAATTTTTCGTTGTTGTTGTTTTAATTAAATAGTGACATTTAAAATTTTTTTTCATTTCATCATACGGAGGTTGGTCAGTGATGTAATCTTATTTCTTTCTTTGCTAAACTGAATATGCAAAAAAAAGAAAAGATGTCACTCGGTGTGTGTGTTTGTGTGTCACCATTATTATTTTTTAATCATTGGTTGACATTTTTGGCCAAAAATAAAACGAAGATGACACTGTTTGAGTTTGGATGAAAGGCATATTATTTTCACTATTTTTTTTTTTTTTGGTAGATTATTATTATAATTGTCATGATCATCATTTTGGAGATATTTTTTTGTCAAAAGAAAATTTCATTCATCTCAACTGTTTTTTTAAGTTCACGGTAATTATTCTCATCACTTGGCCTGTGCACATATTTGAAAATTTTTTTTCGTTCCTACATCACATACAAGAAGCTAGGAAATATTCTGATTTTCAGTTTTCATCATTATAACGATATCAGTATTTCGTGATTGATTTTTTGAAACTTTTCTTTAAGTTTCTGGGAAAAAAAATCAGATTTTTTATCCTGATTTCCAATTTTTCAATAACAATTTATTGATATAGATGACTGAATCATTCACTTTTCAAACGGTTTTTCTTTCAATTGTCGATGTCAACAATAATTGGCAATCAATTGAGATCTGGTTTTTATTCTATTTGTCGCTTTGTCGTTTTGAAAAGAATCTTGATTCTCTTATTTGTTGCAAAGAAATTCTCGAATAAAACTTGTCAAAAAATATTTTTATTTTTGATTTTCATAAGATTAATCTTTGATTGATTGAAATTTGATTTTTTTTCGATCAAAACTTTGGTTTTTTTCAAATATTTGATCGAATGATAATGATCCAGAAAAAATGACATGAATTTTTTTTCTCATTGATTTTGGTCCATGACAAATTGTCGTGTGTGTGTATCATTCAATTTTATTGTTGCTGCTGTTTGGCAGATAAAGTTGGTTTGATAATAATCTTCTTTTTTTGAAATCGATATCTACAATCGATTGTTGTCGATCTGTTGATCGATTATCCCTGATTGTTGTTGATCAGCCATACATCATTTGTTTGAGTTTTAAAAAATTGAAATTATCGTCTATGCTTGTTTTGGTTGAATTTATATAAACAAATTGTGTCGTGATTGATTTTTGATCACCTTTTTTCTTATTTCCGGTTTTATTTTTTTCAAATAGATAAAAAAAACTTTAACGGAACCATCAAGTGAAAATTGGTCATTTTATGGTCCAAACAACAACGATCCAATGTAAGTAGAAAATGTATTTCTTGCACCTTTTTTTCTCATTTATAAAATACACATGTGCTTGCGTGCATGTCTGTTTGCATATCCATTACCGAATCAATCGATCACAATTCGATCATGTTAATCGATTGGGAATCAGTGATATACCATAATGACGTCCAGTTTTGAAACTAAAAAAAATCACTAATTTTACTTCGTCTTGCATGAATGAATGAAGTTTGTTGCAAAAAATCAATCATTTTCTCAAAATTTTCGACAAAGACAAATAGTGTGAATGTAGTTTACAGTTGAAAATGGAAAAAGATGGAAATGAAAACATGTGAAACGGGTCAAAACATTTGGTTATGAATTTTATACTTTGATTTGTTTTTTGAATGACCGGATCTACGATATGAAAATCAGTTGGTGGTCATTTCTCGACACACTGAATATCCGTTTTTTTCACCCGAGATTAATTTCACTTGCTTTTTGTTGTAGTTGATTGACAGAAGTCACTGTCGCCGGGTTTTGTTTCATCCCCATGAGAGAGAGTGAGGTATATCATTTATGATGAATAATAACTGTCCGAATGAATTACCGGACTTTTTTTTTATTTTTTTCAATTCTGATGTTAATGTGTGTGTGTGTGTGTGTGTTTGGTAGATCTATCATAATCATTTCCCTTGTGGTTGTTGATGTGGTGTCACACACAAACACAGATTAGATTTTTTTTCACGAAATTCATGTTGAAATTCAATGACTAATCATGGTGTGCGTGTGAGTGTGTATGAAATGTCATCATATTTCTGTCATTTATCGAGTAATGTGATTATTGTTGACAAGTTGGTTGGTTGTGGTTGATCCTCTACATTAATTATTATTTTCGAGTTTTGCGTTTTTCATCAGTCACCAAAACGAATTTTCATCTGATTTCTCCATTTCGGGTTTATTAACTTTTAATTCGAAACATTACCGTGTATGATCACCGGTTTTATGAATATGGTCATGAAATATCTAGAGAAAAAAAATGAATCCGGCTAATTATTCTGCAGTTTTCAATGATGTCGAACTGTGAAATTGAACCGAAAAAAAATTCATTCAAAATTTTTGCACTAGCAATATAGACAAAATCATCATCATTGTTCCCATTTCCGGGTACACTATTCAAATAACATCGAGAAAAAAAGAACAGGAAATCCGTTTTTTGGCAAATAGCTACCCGTTCATTCATCGTTGTCGATGAAGAAAAAAAAAAAAAATAACCCTATAATTGTTTCGGAAGGATAAACTATTTGAAAAACCAAGAAAAATTTATCATTTTTCATTCGAACCAGAATCCAATGTGGTAGAATTACTACTCCATCATGTCATGTGTTTTGTAAACCACTCTCCTAATAAATATTTTCAAAATGATTTCATTATTTGACAAACAAATTGGCACTGTCGCACTAAATGTTCAGTTCTGTGTCATTTGTGAGAATTGAAATCATCATCAATGTGGTTGTTGAATAAATTATTAGCTGAAAGATAGACAAAATAGATGAAAGAAATAAAGTCAAAAATCCACTGCTAGTGAAATGAATAATCCAAAAGGAAAAATTTAAATTTTTTTTCTTTGACATCGAAAGAAATCGATTGCCTGATATGAATATAAATTTCGAATATAAAAATTGTTTTTGATGATGTCTGCGTGTGTGTGAAATGTCCACTGGGACTTGTTAGGAAGAGATATTTTGTTACAAAAAAAAATCGTCCAGTTACACATAATGTCAGAGAGGAAAAACATCGATTTTTTTTCTTTTGAAATTTATTCAATTCAATTTGATCCAGTTACTTTCAATGCTTTGTTGCCCAAGTGCTGTTCTCATCATTACACACACACACATCAGACATTGCATTTGATGACAATTATTACCATCATCAATTTTTTCTGGCAAAAAGAAAAATCGAGAAAAAAAATGTCAAAAAAATAGTCAAAGGCTACACTTGAAATTCTGGTTTCACACAGCATTGAATATTTTTTTTCAAAAATTTTTTCTTTCTCCAAAATTCACTCTAATCAAATTCATTTAAATTCAAACAATTTGAAAAATTGCTATTGACAAAATGGCGACAGCAACGATGGTGATGAAAAACAATTAACGAATTGAAAATCAGATTTCTCTCACCGAAATTGTTACATTGATTCAATTGTCTCTATGTTTGACATTAACGAATATTCCACAATGAATTCGGTTAGGTGTAATTGAACGTAGAATTGATGTTTTGACATACACAAACACCAATTCTTGTTGTTGTCACCATCATCATCATCATCATTATTGTCATTATATCAAATCAGTGAAAATCTGTGAATAAATCATTCAATTGTGTAATAATAATGATACATGATGTGTGTGATTCTCTTCTAAATTAAATCCACAATTGTTCTATTGTTGTTCATTGTTGTTGTTGGTGCAATTGATGTAAAGCAAGCAAGCAACTAACCAAACAACCAACCAACTAACCATATAGTCTTTGTTCCAATTTCTTGATTCTTGTTTTTGTCACACACACACACACACACAGGAAATGAACGAAAAAAAAAATTTTATGATCCAGAATTGTAGCTAGAAAAAATTATTTTTATTCTCACACACACACACAATGAATGAATGAATGAACCGAATGACAATGGCGAAATATGCATGCCATACATTTATTCATTCATTTTTGGCTGGTACCGTTTTTTTCAGCTGATTGAATGAGTATTTTTCTTTCTTTGCACGTCGTTTCTATTGTTTTCGATTATTTTAATTAATTTAATTAATAATTGTAATGGAAGACGGCAACTATGACAACAACGACAACGGCGACATACCGACACGCTGAGTGTTAGTGAGAAATCATTATCCATTGCCATTGTACATACACACAAGCCTCATCATCATCATCATCATCATTATTGATTCTTGTTTATTAGGAATTCATTGAACGTTTTTTGAGACCCACACATTTGATGATTGGCGAAAAGAAATTATCATTAGTCACTGAATCTATGAAAATTTTTTTCTCTTTTCATCAATTTATAAATAGATAATTGTTTTTCACAAATCAATCAAAAATTCAGGGTGTGTGTGTGAGTGTGATTCCCGCCTACTCTAATTATTTTTTTTGTTTTGTCTCGCTAAATAACGAAATTGTTTAATTTCATCCAATGTTGTCCATTTGTTATCTGTATAATTGAAACGACACACACACACGGTAGATATTAAAAAATTTTGGCTAAAATTAACATTATGTATCTCATTTGACCATCACCAATTAGCATTATGATCATCATCATCATGATGATTAATGTGATTGATTGATCGATATGACAATGAAAATGTGTATATCTATCTATCAATTGATCCAATTTATTGATCATTTTTTTCAATTTATAGATCGATTATTTTTTTCCTAATTTACTTCCGCCGAGCGGTCTAATCTCAATTCTTTTTTTTACAGCAATTGATCGATCATATTCATTTGGTCAATTATTTTCTGGTGTTTTCTGTCCAATGAAACACACCACCCACCCACACGCACACACAAACTAGTAATCATCTTAATTGAAAAAAATGTGGACAAAAAATTTTTTCTTTGGAATGGCTTGGTTTTCTTTTCTTTTTTCCATTCGTTTTCAGTTGTTGTTGTTGTTGCCATAGGATCCAGTGTTTGTTTGGCAAAAAACGAAAAACTGGACATTTTTTCCACATTTTCAATAACATTCAAAAAAAATCAATTTCGGTTTGGTGATAATTTTTTTTGCCTTTATGAACAACAACAAGGTCAATTATGGAAAAAACGGTCCCGTTTCCAATGTTGATGGTGTCTAGACTTTTTCTGTTTCTGCTGCATATAAATTATGATGCTGTTAATTTAATTTTAGAAGGAGAAAAACTTGTCCACCATATCGCTATGATATTCAAAGTTTAAAATAGAAAAAAAAAATTTTTAAAAAAAATGAACAAGATGTCAAGATGAAGTGCGTTTGACGACCAGAAAAAAAACTGATTCCATTACTGACCATGAAAAATTGAATTTGGCTTGATTTTGAAATTCATTTACAAATTTTTTTTTTCTATTTACCATTTGTTCGTTTGTGTGACATTTACATTATCAACATTATTATCATCACCCACCACGACAATGACCAAAAACATACCATTATTACTTTATATTTTGATGATCATTTTTTTCTGGTTTTTTTTCTCTTTTGATAATGATATCGAAAAATATTATCACTCACTACCAGAAAAAAAACGAGAAAAAGGTAATTTACTAATTACCTTTTTTTTCTTCTCGTTTCGTTAAATGAAATTAATTTGTCGATAAATGCAGTTGAGTGAAAAGAAAGAGATACATTTGACACGCGTCAATCATCAAATATATGATGATTTTTGGAAAAATTGTTGCAAAATGTGGTGTCATATGGTGTCGATAACTTGATGATAATATCTCTCTCTCTCTCTCTCATTCTTTGGTATGTGAATCTATGAACGAGAAATATTTCAGATAATTTTCAAGCCGAATCAAATCTAAATGCCAAAAGGTTTACATCACTCACTATCTCTCGAAATCTTAGACATTTGTGAAATCTTAATTTTTTTAAAAAAAATCAACAAATTTTCTCTCTCTTCTTTACGTGGATTATTTGAAAAAATTTTGAATTTAAAAAAAAAGTAAATTAATCAGATAAAATGCTAATGGACTGTCAATGATCATCATGATTTCGATGACAGTTTGCCAGATAATCATCATCATGAGAAAACAACATTCAAATATCATAGATGAAATGTTTCCGGAATAATGATGATGATGATGATGAGTAGAATTCACACAAAAAAAAATTTTTTAAATCTAAATGAGAATTCAAAATTTAGTTAATCTTAATTTGTTAGGATTAAAGCTTATTATCCATTTTTTTCATCTAAAATGGTGATCAAAGACAGAGATGTTATCTTTTGATTTCAAGCTAATGATGTTGATAATGATGTTAA